AGGCCCTGGCGGGTGGTGGCGTGCAGGGACGCCGCAGCGGCGCTCAAGGCTGACTCCACACCCGACACGCAGTCCCCTCACTCTCCCTGGGGCCACAGGACAAGGCTTGGGTCCTAGTGTTCTGCCTCTTCTCCTAGGAACTGCTCCCCGTTGAAACAAAGACAGTGCCGGCCAGACCAGGGGCTTAGTCTTGGACCCGCCACAGCTCCCCCAGCACCACCCCCGGCACACGGCAGCTGCGCTCGGGCTGCCAGACTGATAACCGCCCGCCTGTGGGCGGGAGGCGCCCTCTCACGCTTTTCCATAGGGGATCAAAACACGCATGAAAAGTGAAAACACCCAAAACACAGCAAAGTGTACGGTGAACAAAAGACCAGAGGGCTCTGCTTCATTTTCACGTGTACGGCGTGTTTCTTTTCCCCCAGACCAGCCCCTCTGCACGAGCTGCCTGCCCGCACCGACCTAATCAGGAGGCAATCAGGAGGTAGTCGGCAGTGCCTGAGAGCCGGGCAGTGAACGGCTCCCAGGGGCTCAGCACGCGCCCAGGCTGTGGCAGGGTGGCTCTCGCAGCGTGGGGGGTGGGGGGGCGCCTCCTCTTTGTCCAGACAGAAGCAAAGTCAGTCACTGCACTTAAGCTCCAGAAAGAGGCTTCGGATTTGATCACATAAGAAGTTTCAACTTGGGAAGTGAGAACAAAGTGCCCCGGTTGGGGCGGTGAAGTGGGCAGAGGCCCGGGCAGCCGGCGGTCTTGCTGCAGCAGACACGCGGGTCCCCCAGCACTGCACCCGGCAGCCCCGCGGGCCCTTGGCCGGCACCGCCTCCAGGGAGCCGGGCTTCCCTGGAGAGGCCCCCACTGCTGCTGCCCAGCCCCCCGGGTGCGAGCCAGCCCCGCGAGGCTGCCTCGGGCCCGGGAGACGGCCTTCTGAGCGGTGTGGCTGGCATGGTCTGACGACCCCATGGCCTGGGACCCAGCGGGTCCAACCCCCAGGAGCCGAGTCCTCTGCCAGGCGCACATTTTGGTTCCAGGAAAGCAGCTCAGAGGAGGCTGCGGACCTGAGAGGGAGCCCTGAAGCGGGGGCCTCACCAGGGTCCTGGGAGCGAGGCAGGGCCGAGGACTGTCGAAATGACAGGGGCCAAGGGCTCTGCTGAGGCTCCCGGAGGACAGGAGGGAGGAAGGGTGCCTGAAAACACCTGAGACCTACTGGACACTGAGTGGCCAAACGAGGCCGGGAGCCTGCGGCAGGCTGGCGCTGGGAGCCAGCCCCCACCCCGGGCCTGTGGCTGTTTGTTCTGAGCACGAGGACAGGGTCGGGAGGAGGACCTCGGAGTCCCCTTAAGCACTGAGGTCGCGTGGCAGCGTTCCCAGCAGCAGCACGGAGCTCTGCTGAGCATCTACTTGGTGGGTTAAAACTGGCTGCATTTTCTAGGATAGAATTAAAACCAACTTGGAGTCTTAATTTGGGCTTCTCACCCAGGGAAAGTGGGAAGTG